AAAAACTAAACCTGCTAAATTTATTCCTTTAATGCAAGTTTGGGAGGTGGGGGGAGACAATTTTTTAAAGTAAAATAATGCCCCCTGGATTTTCCCTGCTTGTGGCTCCTTCTCAGGAACAGACCCTTACCTCCAGGAACTGGAGCGATGACTGAAGGCCAGTGCCCGGCCTGTAAGGCCAGGATGTGGCAGGAGCAGCGGTGACAGCGGGTGCAGAGGCCCCAGGGCCCGCCCAGTGCTCCTTTCTCCTCTCGCCTCACATCCTCGGCCCTGGCCTTTCGAGTCGGCTCCAGGTGAACAGGGATCTCAGTAACACGGTCTGCTTAACCTCTCAGCTAGTTCGAATGTTTCTTCCACCCCCAGGACCCCATAAGTTCCTGTTGTGTGCCTTGCTAGACTTGACTCAGGTGTGTCATGCCCTCTGCCCAGGAAAACTTACCCATGCCAGCCAGCCCTGCTGCCCTGCCAAAGATTTGCTCTGCCTGATGTTTGCTCTATACTGTAACAGTGTGGGCTTTTAGAGACTTTGATATTATTAAGATTTGAGCCAGAGAGATAGTAGAGGAGGTTTAGTTGTTTATCTTGCATCTGGCTGATTCCTATTCAGTCCCTGGATCCTTATATTGTCCCCTGAACACCGAGTCAGGAGTAAGCCCTGAGCACTGCCTGGTTTGACCCAAACAATTCCCCCCACCAAAAAAAAATTAATAATAATAATAATCTGTGTTTTCATCCTAGAACTTTGCCCAATGACTGACACATATGTGGTCATTTTTGTTTCCTATTTAGTCTTGTACCTCTGGGGCCCCATGGTGGTCCTCAAAGGGTGGGCAGTATGCTGTTTGGAGAGAAAATCCCTGTGATTTATTTTGTTGCACTTGATGGCCAGGCATTAGATCTCATCTCTCTGCGCAACTCAGTGTTGGAGCTTGGGGAAACTGTAAGACTCTTCTCCAAGAGTCGACTTTGAAGTTAATTTTGTGTACAGCACATGAGGAAAACTTGTAGAAGAAGAACAATTATTAGCAGATATAGAAATTCGATTCCTCCGCCCCTCTCGGAGAGCCCAGCAAGCTACCAAGAGTATCTTGCCCCCACGGCAGAGCCTGGCAAGCTCCCCGTGATGTATTCGATATGCCAAACACAGTAACAACAAAGTCTCCAATGGAGACGTTACTGGGCCCGCTCGAGCAAATCGATGATCAACGGGAGGGCCTTTACTTTACCTTTACTTTTACTATAGAAATTAGGGATGCTTGTATATTCATAGGAAGAGTCTCAACAACAACAAAAACCTCCCCTCAAAATGTTACCAACCTCAGGGCTGGAGCGATAGCACAGCGGGTAGGGCATTTACCTTGCACATAGCTGACCCAGGTTCAATTCCCAGCATCCCATATGGTCCCCCAAGCACTGCCAGGAGTGATTCCTGAGTGCAGAGCCAGGAGAAACCCCTGAGCATGGCCGGGTGTGACCCAAGAGGCAAAAAAAAAAAAAAAAAATTATCAATCTCTTGGGGATAGGATTTTTTTAGATAGATTTTTTTTTTACTATTTCATTTCCATATGTAAAAATTTTATGATCATATAATTAATTCATAAGTTTCAAAAGTAGGCATCTGCAGCAACAGACAGGCCATCAGTTGTCCAGAGTAGGGTCAGGCAAAACTTCTCTGCAGTAGTGAGGGAGCCTCCATCAAGCACTTGTTCCACACCAGGCTCTTCTGGGGACAGTCAAAAGAAATATGATGCCGCAGACTTCACAGAGGAAACCGCACATCCCTGTAACCGAGGCCAAGCAGAGACCTTGTGAAAGTTCTGCATTCCCCGTAAGGCTGACCAGCTGCCGGGCTGAATGTTCCAGAAACCAGTTACTAGAATAACATCCCAGCCTGGCAGTGAGGTCAGGTGTAGACGGGAGGAGAACTTGGAGGAGCCCCAGTAAGCCTGTGAAAACAGAAGAGAAAAACTGCAAGACTCCAGACATACTGCAGTGAAGGAAAAATCCTCCAGGAATCCAAAGGTCTTCGAAATGGCTGCACCTCGTAGTACAGCTGGATCTCTGGGCTTTGCTAGGGTAAAGGGTCCAGGGTGGGCACAGAGCACACCAGCTTTGATTAGGCTTCGATTTGGCAAAGATGATCCCAGGGTCTTTCCCTGCTGTCAGGGCAGACCACTGATAACTTCTACACATATCCAGAGATAGACACAGAAAGTTAAGAAAGCAAGGGACCGAGTGACAAGGGCTTTGAGGATATAAGAAACATATTTGAAGGCAGATGAAATATAAAGACAGAACTTCTCGATGGAGCTGGGATATGGCTTTTAGAAGTGGTTCACCAGCAAACAGCCAGATGTCATTCAATGCCAGCCCTGCTTCTTGCCTGGTGTCTTTTGTTAGGTTCTTTAGTAAACTCCTTAGAGAGACAAAAAAAATTAAGAGTTAAATGGTATTTACACCAATTTCAGTTCCTAGCTGTGATGTGTCTAAAATGTTTAGGTTTACTTTTAAAACAGTTATGTGTTGGTTGTTTGGGGGGGCATGCCTGTCTGTGTTTAGGGTTTACTCCTGGCTCTGCTCTCTTCACTGGCCCAGGGGATCATTGCCAGGTGCCAGAGATGGAACCACGGTCAGCTGTGTGCGAGGCAAGCACCATACCATCTGTACTATCTCTCTGGGCCCAACAAGGATTTTAAATAAGAGTTTTATTTGTGGTCATATTTTTAAATTATTATTATTATTTATTGGGGGGTTATACCTGGCAGTGCTTGGGGAACCATGAAATGCTGGGGATCAAACCTGGGCCTCCTGCATAAAAGTATGTGTTCCAGCCAGTTCAGTTACCTCTTCATTCTTGTGCTTCAGTATTTCTGAAAATCTTGGTTGAAAGCCTTATCACATAGCTTAAGGATGTGATTATGTTCCATTTATTTTAATGTATTATTTAAATGATCAGTTGAAGGAGATTATTATAGAAAATATTTGATCAGGTAAGTATCTTAAGTCATGATGCTGACTCAAAAATTCAATCCAGTGCAAAGTCTGAAGTATATGCATTACACGCATGAAGTCCTGAGTTCAGTCCCTGTCACTACTTTGCCTCCACCCAGCATTACTGGGTATAACCCTGGTGGCCCCCAGCCTCCTGGGTCTGAGCAGCATTTCATAACTGGACCCAAACAAACTGAATAACCAGGCTGAGTATCACAGGGGGTGGCGCCCTCCCCCTTGAGCACCACCAGGGAAGACCCCCCAAAATAAAAAAAAAAATACTAGCTACCAATTGTGTGAGGGTTTTTATTTAAATTCCATCTTCTTTTCTCAAACACTGATTTTCCTAATGAAAAGATATTGCATTTCCATGTACCAGAAAAATTTTTTTAATAAAGGAAAGAAAATAGCTCAGATAGGAAGGTTTCTTTGAGCAGATAAAATTTTTCTGGTTCTAAGTGTTTGAACTAAGAAGAAAAATTTTATATGATTCACATTATTTTCAGCGAAAAAAAAAAAAAGAAAAAAATCACAATGGCAGCATTTCAAAGCCTCCATTTCCAAGGCTTTCTCTCTTGCATGAGAGTCTTTTTAAAAGGCAGCTTGTTTTTATAGTCATTGTAAAAATTTCGTCTTTACCCTGAAGAAACAAAACCAAAGGTTTTTTTTTATATGAAAAATATTTGCTGGGGAGCATATAATCATTACCACTTGTCATTTTGAAAAAAGTCAGCGAAATTTGGACACTCACCTTTGTTTAAAGGAAAATGAGGAGAGAGGACACAGCATAAGATGCTTGCCTCTCACGTGGCCAGCCCCAGTTTGATTCCTCACCACATACGGTCCCACAAGCACCACCACTAGTAATTCCTAAGGACAGTCAGGAGTAACTCTGGGTACCACTGGGTGTGGCCCAAACTCTGATAATGAATAGCATAAAAATATTATTAGATGGCTTTTTGAGGATGCTTGCCACAGACAACCAGCAAACCCCTGTGTAATACAAAGAACTTTTATGGTCATTTTCTGTCTCGTTACAAAATTTTGTGAAGCTTCTTTAAAATCTTGTTTTATTGCTTGAATACATTGTGTAGGAAGTAAGCTGCAGTATATAGTAGTACACGGAAAGAGGGTAAAGAAGACATTATTAACCTCCGCCTTCTGATCTTAACAGATTCTGTGGTTGGTGATAATCGAGGGTCAGGACTGAGTGAGCTGCCAGCTGTCAAAGTGTCCATTAAGCTGAATTTTTCCCCTTGTGCCTTAGTTTACTCTGCAAGTCGTGGTTCAGACTCTGCCCCCATTACTGTCAATATTATGGTCCCCTTGGAAGATGTCTGTGGGGCTCGTTCAGACACCCCCAGCTCTATCTCACTGCACAGGAGTTCTCTTTGACTTGGCTCCTGGCCATCTCTTCAGCCAATCTTTCTTTACACACATGACATTTCCCACCTACTCCTGCAATGCCGCGTGCTGTCATCTCCTAGAGGGCTGTCCTCTCCCTTCTGCCTCAGCTGTGCTTCCTCCATTCCTCCATTCCTCTTCCCTTCCTCCCTGGGCTGTTTCTGAGTAGGGTCTGGGAGGAGATTTTTCTTACCCTGTTTCACCCCATCCTGGTATGTGTCCTGGGTGCTCATAGAATATTCTCTGTATGTCTCTGATGTGCATGTTTCTCCCCCATTATACTGCAAGTTCTTTGAGTGCAAGTTCAAACATCTATGACTTTGAGATGTTTGTGACTTTTCACATCCATTACTATAACTGTTCTGAGGAAGACAGTTGACATACGTATTCGTGCCTACTTGACACTTTAGTTTGAATTACATCAAAATTCTGTCCCCTCCACAGACAACATGCAATAGTAAATTTTCTACTCAGTTCTATTTTTTTAAACTTGACATGTATTTCTAACCTCTTTTTCAATAGAGAAAAGTGCATTTATTTTTCTTTCATGTTATAATCTCCTGACTTCTGAAATATCTTCCTCTCCCCCGACCCTGGCTTTCCAGGCTTTAGATGGATTCTTCTTTGTGGTGAACTGTGAAGGAAGAATTGTTTTTGTGTCAGAAAATGTGACCAGCTACTTGGGTTACAATCAGGAGGAATTGATGAACACCAGTGTCTACAGCATCCTGCACGTGGGGGATCATGCAGAGTTTGTAAAGAATCTGCTTCCCAAATCACTAGGTAAAAAGAAATGTGTTTTTTAAAAGAATGCTAATGCCAGTAGCTTCTCTTTATGCCATTGATGTTGTGCATTGTTATATTTATAGTGTGTGCTAGCAAATATATGTCATAATCTATGAAAATATGAAATATATATGAAAATCTTGCTTGAGTGGCAGATGTGACTGAAGGGGAAGGCATCAGCTGACTGACAGAGCATTCCCCTTCTCCTTCTCCTCTCGACTATACCATACTTAGGGGACAGCACGGGGAAGCCAAGCAGTCAGTTGCTTTGCCATAAGAAACTTCTGCTCGCAGCTCTGTATTCAGTTTTGATTATATGCATGAAAGAGACAGATGTATATCCTTCTCACAGCAACTCTGCTCAAAGACAGAGAAAGGGGAGGAAGGCCAGGAAGGATGACAGGAACTGGGGAAGGCAAGGGTATACTCTCATATGTCCCGGGTCTCAGTTCAGGAGCTCCATATGTGGTTGAATTGGTGGTTCCCTGCCAGAGGAGCCTCACTGGGAAGATGATGAGGTCTGTGCCCCCTCCAATTCCTTCACTCAGCCATGGACCCATCCTTTTGCTCTAATGTTGAGGGGGGGACATAGGCAATAATTCCCTTATCGCAAAACCAAAAACGCATGTCAACTGTACCAGTGTCTCTTCACTGTTCAAATTGTTCCCACAGTGGAACAGAAACCTTTTTCTCCTTTGAAAGGAATATTCTCTGTTTATAACTTGTAACTAGTTATAAACTTATAATCTGTAATCATTGTGGCTATACTTTTTGCTTTTTTTTTTTAAGTTTGCTTTTGTTTGGGACTCACACCTGGCAATGCTCAGGGGTTACTCCTGGCTCTGCACTAGTAGTGCACAGGTGACATATGCGATGCTGGGGATCGAACCCAGCTTGACCACATGCTAGGCAAGCACTCTGCTCACTGTGTATTCACTCTAGGCCCCAGGAGTCAGTTCCTATTAAGTTCACTAAGTTGATTGTTGAACTGACAGTTGTTTGTTTTGTTCCAGAATCCTAACAGGTTTGTAAGTTTAGAGATAAATAGTGGATTCCTGGGGCTCGGGAGGTAGCTTAGAGAGCTAGTGAGCATGTACAGGGCACAGAACACAGGGTCCCTGATCACAGAGCTCCCTGTGAGTACCAGGAAAGAATCACTTGGGATGGCTCCAAACAAACAAAAGTGGATCCTTTTATTCCCCTGTACTATTTGTTCCTAGCAGAACCAAGACTGTACTTCAGTCCATTTCCGGGATTTCCCCTAACAAGGGTAGAGTAGTGAGACAGTGGGAAAGACAAGATTGACTTTCTGCCATCTTGCAGTACATGGCCAAAACCACCCCAGAGGAAAAGGGGAGAGCCCCCTTCTATGCTGATACCTTCTGGGATCCATGAAGTTCTTCTCTTTGGACACACACATGCGATCTACAAGAAAGATGATATTTTAGGCACACATGGAACAGGCACTGTACAAAAAGGAATGTCTGGGGCTGGAGCGGTAGTAGGGCATTTGCTTTGCATGAAGCTGACCTGAGTTCCATCCCCAGCATCCCATATGGTCCCCCAAGCACTGCCAAGAATAATTCCTCAGTGCAGAGCTAGAAGTAACCCCTGAGCATTGCAGGGGATGTGACCCCCCCTAAAAAAATTTAAAAAGAATGCCCCACAAGTGTTACCATGGCAAAACTGGAAGAATATGATGTTACCCAGTGCTGCCCAGCATGCTTTGGCGTGTTGTAAACAAGCAAGAAAAGGGCACAATTCATTCCAAGAGAACTAACATAAAGCCCAAGAGATCATACAGCAATCATGGCACTTGCCTTACATGTGGCCTACCCAGGTTGGATTCCCAGCATCCAATAGGGTCACCTGAGCACCACCAAGAGTGATCCCTGAGCACAGAGCTAAACGGAAACCCAGAGCACCACCAGGTTCGGCACAAAAACAAAACAGCCAAGAGATCTTATGCTTATATTGAGCATGATAAGCACTCTCAGAGCTGAATCGGCTCTCTGGAACATGAAAAAGAACGAAGACAGAGAAAGGCACTTGGGTACATCAGAAGTGCCAGCCTGTTCCACCCAGAGGACCCTTGGTGAAAACCAGTAAAAAGCAGCCTGTGTGCTGGAACCCATTTCCCAGGAGTTCAGAGCAAGATGGTGTTTAAAAATACAAAAAGTACTTGGGATATTTTGGGGGTAGAGAGAAGGGTCGTTCCCAGCTGTGCTGAAGATTTACTCCTGGGTGTGAGAACTTGCCCCTGCCAGTGCTGGGGATGGAAGCAGGGCCAGCCAGCCGCATGCAAGGCAAGAGCCTTAACCCTGACAGTCTCTCAGCCCAAGAGCTCTGGCTTATTAAAATAAAAGAATTCAGTAGGACAAAGCAAGGAGAGTTCAGTAGAAAGAATAAGGTTGTGGGGGAGCAGAGAAAGAGCTCTTTTCTAGAACCCCCTTCACCCCCAAGACCCGATGATTCCCCTGGGCACCGCCAGGAGTGACACCCCACTAGATCAGGAGCTTCTGAGTGTTGCCGGATATGGCCCCAAACAAAATTTTAAAATAAAATTTTAAGAGGCAGCCACTAGTCATGATGAGAGAATAGCCTTGGGACCCTGCCAGCCCCTGTGGGTCAGACATCACCCTGCGGCTTCGTGGTCAGGAGCCCCCAAAGCTTCCTCCCGCTTGAAATCTACAGACAGCTTTCCTATAGATAATTTAATGTGTTTATGTTGATTCATTTTAGTGCATTAACTTATTGATTTACCCCTATGTTCAGGGTATCATAGCATTAAACTGAAAATAAAATGCAAGAAAAAAAAGGATTCTAAAAAACAAAAAAACCAAGATTGGTTTCTATCCTAATACTTTTTTGCACCATAGACTGCCTTAAGAAAATTTTTTTTGATTAATAGTATCATAAATCACAGAATCACAATTTTTTTTAAAGAAAAGAATTTAGTGTTTTGGTTAATTTGTTTGGGGGCCATAGTTAGCAATGCTTGGGGTTACTCCTAGCTTTGCACTCAGGAATTACACCTGGTCGTGCTCAGGGAACCCTAGGGGATACCAGGGAGCAAAACTGGTTCAGTCACTTGCAAGGCAAACACCCTACCCCATGTACTGTCGTTCTTGCCCCAGAAAAGAAATTTTTTAATCCTTTCCCCTCAAAAGTGCACAAGCATACATAGCCCTTCGCATAATGGTAGATCTGAGGTTTTCAGTCATTTCCAACGAATAACTGGAAACAAATGCAGAAGCTAATTAGGTCTCTAAAATTCTGAGCAAAAGAGCTGGTAAGCTAGTCATTTTTAACTATTGTCTTTATCTATGATAAAAGCTACTGGTAAGGATCATGTATTGTATGCATGAGGCCCTGGGTTCAGTCTCCTGTACTGCCCACAAAGAATGAATCAGGATATTTGGAGGGCCTTGTCTGTAAGGGGGAAAGTGCTTTATAAAATTTCTTGGAAATGTTACAGTTTTCTAACTAATGGTCATAAGTAGATCAGAAAAAGTCTGTCTTTTAGTCTGTATATTTAGTTAAGCAGGTGACTTATTGCTTGGTTGTCTTAAGAGTTTAGACTTTTCACCTTATTCACAGGAAAAAATTCCATTTTTCTTCCACAGTAAGTGGAGTTCCTTGGCCCCAAGAAGCAGCACGACGAAATAGCCATACCTTTAATTGTAGGATGTTAATACACCCTCCAGATGAGCCAGGCACGGAGAACCAAGAAGCTTGCCAGAGATATGAAGTAATGCAGTGTTTTACTGTGTCACAGCCAAAATCCATTCAAGAGGATGGAGAAGGTAAAACAAAAAGCTTCTTTTTTTTTTTTTAAGGTATTTGATGGCTTTTTCCATGGCTTCAGGACAGAGAGATAATTGATTACACGCTGCCTTCTTCAGATATTTCCACTTACTTGACTCTGTGTCATAGTGGCTGTTCAATTTGCTATTTATTAATACTTAAGGAAAAACAACAACTGGAATCATGCTTTTTAAACAGCCCCAAAGACTGAGTCTTAATCTGGCATTCCTAATAAAATGTCAAAGTCAAACCAACTTGCTGCCTAGAAATAAGAGCTGTAACTGCTGCCAGTTGGAAATGTACCAGATGTAGCAGGCTGCCGAGCAGCTCTGATTTTTAGAAAGTTTCAAGTTTAGAGTGTAGAGAACATTGGAGAATAGAGTTCTCAAGTTTGAGGCCATACAAGGTAATTATAAGGCAAAAGCTCATGAAGAGATGAAAGCACAGCCAAAGCTCTAAGAAGAACACGGTATCAGCAAGCAGTTAGTTAAATTGACATTCAATGAGTTTTCCATGTGAGCTTAAATTGAGCTAAGTTAAGAACTCCTCAAATCATAAATTAAAGTACGAAGCAGGGAAAGCAATCACTGGGAAGTTAGTTGGATGCCAGGAAGACCAAGTAGGCAGCAGATCACAGCTGGAAGTGAATGCCACCCACCCCTGGGACTTTGCACGGTCCACATGGCAGCTCCATCCACGGTTACTCAGGTTCAAGCTGTGTGATAGCAGGTGTCACATTCTCAAAATTGGAACTGGAACTTTGCAAAAAGTAGTTATATCTGAAAATAGAAGTCCTCTGTTAAAACCAAAATAATACTCGTTCAAAGTAGTTCATTGTTCTTTCTCTCTCAGGGTATTTATTATCTGAAGAGTCGTTATAGGAATGATTTTAGTAGCCATCTACACACACACACATATGCATACATATATATATATATATATATACATAACAACTCATAGTTTTCTTTAAGTCTAACCAAAAATACTACTTTAAATTGTTGTTATCTCAGTACATGAACTATACCAGTGTCCTCTAATATATGTGAGAGCATTCACTGAGAAGGGTTCGTTTGTTTCTGCCTAGAGCTGCCAGTTGGGGGTTGCCATACGTTTGGTTTCTACATTATACTATCAGATCATTGTGATGCTGAAATTGTTACATGCATTTTTGTAAAAACCTTGATGGCAGGCGATAGATGTGAACCATTTTCTGTTCTCTTTCCTTCCTTCAATTCCCCCTTCTCAACTTTGGTAGATTTCCAGTCATGTTTGATTTGTATCGCGCGGCGGTTACCTCGGCCTCCAGCCATCACCGGTGTCGAGTCCTTTATGACCAAGCAAGATACTACAGGTACCAATTGCATATTCCAAATGTTCAATCAGTATGTGATGTAACACAATCTTTCAAATTAACTGTGAACAAAATCTTCTATCTTTTATTGTGAGCTTCTTCTGCTCAGTAGTTCGTACAGAAAACACCGTAAATGATGTTTTGTGCATTTTAGACTTCTTAAACATTTCCATGGGCAAGATACTAGGTATATAAAATAGTTGAAAGTATTCGCATACCTCTAATGCTTTTGGTTATAAATTCTTTTATAATCATGGAAAATAATTTATGTTCAGTGATTTATATAAGATTTATTTATAGATGAATATAAATATGGTGGTTTTGATATGTTTCTGTGTGTCTGATATGCTTTCCTTTTTCTTTAAATGTATTCAGCACATTCTTACTGAGTGCTTAGAAGTACCTGTCACTTTGTGTGAGATTGCTTAGGGTAAGCAAAAATCAGTGATACAGTTACAAATTGTGGTCTGTTCTGTTGCTGAAAAAGTATGAGGTGTGTGGCAAAAGTTGAGAGAGACTGGATTGGAGCAATAATAGAGCGTGTAGGGCACTTGCCTTTCAGTAGGGTACAAGCTAACCAGGGTTCAATCCCTAGCACCCATATAGTCCCTTGAGCACTGCCAGGAGTAATTGTTGAGTGAAGTGCCAAGAGTAATCCCTGAGCATTACAGGTGTCACCCAAAAACACCGTATCACTTATCACTGCCATCCCGTTGTTCATCGATTTACTGAGTGGGCACCAGTAACATCTCCATTCGTCCCAGCCCTGAGATTTTAGCAGCCTCTTATTACTCGTCTTTCTCAATGATGGAAGGCTCTTTCAGGGTTAGGAGAATGAGACCTGTTTTGGCATATCAAATACGCCATGGGGAGCTTGCCAGGCTCTGCCCATGCGGGTGGGATACTCTTGGTAGCTTGCCAGGCTCTCTGAGAGGCATATATATATATATATATGCATATATATATATATTTCCCTCTATGATTTGTTGTTTACTGTCTGAACCCCATCAAATATGATGTGGTAACTATGGAAAATGGGTAGGGAGTGTCTCATGATGTGTCTAGGGTTGTGTTCACTCATGTGAGGCTCGGCCCGAGCATGTGGAAAGCAGCCTGGAGCATGGCGGCGATTGGGTAGTGGAGGTCAGCTGCTGGGGCTGGGTCCCTTGGGGCAGGGAGGACTCTCACCCACCCCCCTCTGGGGCGCCCCGAGTGAAAACAGCCTGGCGCAGAGTCTGGTGGCATGGTTATGGGAGCCTCATTTTATGCTCCCTTCCGGGAGAAGCAGGCATGAGTTCTGGAGGGTGGCCGATGAGATTATCTGGCACTGGCTGGGCGTGGCTTATGGCTGTAACCCCTGGGTTGCCGAGACTGGGGGAAGCAGGCAGAGGATCTCTGCTCCTGGGTCCCACTGAGCCCAGATTCCAAGGTCACAAAGTTCCGCATTACCTGGGTTCCGTGGGATTTCCCTCATGCGTGAGGCTCGACCAGAGCATATGGAAAGCGGCCTGGAGTGTGGCGGCGGTTTGGTAGCGGAAGTCGGCTGCCGGGGCTGGGTTCCAAAAACAAACAAATAAAAAGTGAACAGAGAAGGTTTGTCATCGTGTCTGGGGATCTGATTTAATTTCTCATGTATCGTTTTCACTTATTATTAGGTATATGTGTATAGCTTACATCTCTCATTTTAAAATGTGGATAACTTGAACTATATTTTTAGAGGTCAACATTTTAAAAATAACTTCTACTCAATTTTTTTGAGTAAAGAGTAAAGTTGTAAAAGTTTTGTTTTATTTTTTACTTTTCCATTATTTATACATCCTGTCAGAACAGTTACTAGTGCAGAATATCTGACGTTCCTATATTGTGTGCTTTAGTCTTGTGATTCTAAAGATAAACACCGAACTTCTCTGACTAAAGAGCAGATGGAGATAAATTAGCACAACATGGAATAGAGTAAAGAGAGTGGCTAGGAGCCTGGAGATATGGCCCCTGCGTGCCTGGGGATCAGTTTCCATCCATTTCTTTCCTGCCTCTTCTCAGCCAGCCACATTCACAGCCACATTCCTTTCCTTTGTGCATCAGTATAAAGCACTGACAATTTTTTATGAATCCTGAATGAAAACCAAAAATATTACTGGAAAGAGGAAAAGAGTCCTTTGAAAAATAAAATTGCCCTTTGTATCAATAAAATCAAACCAGGGCCATGAGATAGCAGAACAAAGCCCTGCTGAAAAGGGCTGGTGGTCAGATCACAGAACACATACAGGTAGTGAAAGTCCTGAGCGCTGAGAGGACCACTTAGGGATGTGGTTTCATCTTTTCTTTATATTGCATTCTACAAATTTAATCCCAAATTTCATTGTGTTTTTAAAAGGCTGCATGTTGCATGGTCCTATGGAACAATGTGCCACTGTTAGTTTTATTTCTGACCAAGGACCCACCCAACAGTAACATGTTAAATATGCTATGTATATAATATATATATATATATATATATATTAGCGAAGTGACTGGAAAGCTCAGTTGCCTGGAGCAAATGGTAAATGCCTTGCGTGCAAGGGGCCTAGATATGGTCCCTGATACCATAGTTCCCCACACAGTGCCAGTTGTAACTCCAAAGCATTGGATCCAGCAATCGTTCTTAAGTACCATGAAGTGTGGCCCAAAAGTAAATAAAAATTAGCCAGGGAGATTGCTCAAAGGGTTTGAGCACATACTTCGCATGTGGAAGCCCCACATTTGAACTCTAGCACCATGTGGCCCCTAAATACCTAGAGGAGTGGTCCCCAACCACTAAGCCCAGGAGCAGCCCCTGAGTACATTCAGTATGACCCAAAGGCCAGATAAAGCTATAAACATAAAATATTGAGCTCTGGGTCACCTGCTGACTATGAATCTAAGGGAAAGCTCAGAGATGATAAAATCCAACTTGCCATCTTAAACTTGCCAGAAAGGTGACTTCTCTAAAGCTGAGCACCTGATCGCTGAGTACAGACATCTGGTGGCTCAGGTCCAGAACATTTTATCTTCCATCACTCTCTAAGCACTTTACGTGGGCATTACTCTACACATTTACTACACAAACAGTAGCCAAGTCTCTCTCTCTCTCTCCCTCTGTCTCCTTCTTCTCTCTCTCTCTCTTCTCTCTCTTCTCTCTCTTCTCTCTTTTTTCTCTTATTTTCATTGTATTTGCCATTTTGTTACCATCACAGACAATTTAGTCAATTTTCTCCCCTCTAATTTCTCCCACAATTTCACACTCTAGGTCTTTTGTGGTCCAAGACTGACACAGACACATACACACATGTGAAGCTGCATGTGCACACACACACACATGCCTCCCTTAATCACCGCCTTTCTTTTGGAATGTGGTGGAGGATGGTGCTGGGGTTGAAGCCAGGGTCTTAAACATGCAAGTCAGGTGCTGACTACTGGGCTACACCCCCATCCTCACTGCTTTTAGGGATGCATGAGGCCAGAGAGAGACTAGGCACATGTCAAGCCTGTGCAGAGCCCTGAGTTTGATCCCCAGGATCAAATTCTCCACCCCACAACCAGGTGTGGCCCTGGTGCCTTCCCACCCTCTGTCCCCCAGCACCAGTGGGAATATCCTGGAGCTTCTATCTGGATGTGACCCTCTTTTGAAAATGTGGAGGCATAGTGAGAAAATGGAAGACTAGGAAAAAAACATACCAGCCATGTAAGGAAGAGGAAACATGAATAGTAAATAAACATGTGATATACTTAGCCTCATTAACTGGGGCGGAAAAAACTCTTACACCATAGCCTTTTTCACGTTCTAATTGTGAAATATAAAGAATCCAGATAATAAAATGATGGAGAGGCTGGCTGTTGGATTAGATGAAAATTTATCTGCGGGTTTAACGTCGTATCATTGGGCAGTCACATCACCTATCACCTGCAGTTCTGTTCCTACATATTCACATGCACTGTGGAAAGCAAAAGATGTTCTTAGCAACTTGATTGTAATGACAAAAACCTGGGAATTATTTGGGTGCCCACTGAAAGATTATGAGAAGCAGAGGGATATGATAGTTGAGGGTTCACACTGATGAAATGGTGTTGATAATGTACAAGTTCTGAAAATCAATAGGAAGTTTATAGGTTTTCTTTTTATTAATCTAATCTTTTAATGTATGTGTGTTATTTATGTATATATCTTATTGTTTTGTGTGAACATAAGATTACATTAAAAACAGAAAGTAGAGCATAGAAATTTAAACAGGATTGATTGACCATTGATTATTTAAGGAATAACTTGGACCAGGGGGAAATACAGGGATTGAGGGGCTTCCCTTAGGGGGCCAGAGTGATAGAAATGCAGGTAAGAGTGTTTGCCCTGCATGTGGCCAACCTTAGTTTGATCCCAGTATCCCATATGGTCCCCCAGCAACACCAGAAGTCATCCTGAGTACAGCCATGTACACCCTGAGCTTCACCAGGTGTGGCCCAAAAGCAAGCAGACAAGCAGAAACAGAGGGGCTTGCCTTATATCCCACAACTCCAGTTTGAATCGTTGGTCCTCCAAGCACCACTAGTTTCACTCCTGAGTACAGAGCTAGGAACAATCCCTGAACACTGCCTGGTATGACCTAAACACACACACACACACACACACACACACACACACACACACACACAGAATTACTTACGTAGTTCTTCAGTGGCTATTTAGGAAATGTGTTCAAGGATGGTACCCCTTTTTATAAAACAGATGTTCTCTATATAGATTGCCTGGCAGTTTGTGTGTGTGTGTTGTGTGTGTGTGTGTGTGTGTGTGAAGCAAGATAGTTTTTATTGAAATTTATTTAGAAAGATGTGAGGGGAGAGAAAGAGAAAAGTATGTGTTCAAGAGAGAACACAGGCTTCTTCGGAGTGGAAATAGACAGGCAAAGAAGCAGAGAGACACACAAGCGAGATTACACGTTCAAGGGAGAACACGGGCTTGACGAGAGAACCTGCCTGGCCAGCAGTTTTTTTTTCCTTTTTTTTTATAAATTTATTTATTGAATCACCATGAGAGCAGTTACAAAGCTTTCGGGTTTAAGTCTCGGTCATACAATGATGCAATACCCGTCCCTTCACCAGTGCACATTTTCCACCACCAAAAACCCAATATACCCCCCATCCCACACCCTCCCCCTACCTGGGGGGCAGATGACTTCCACATTACTCTCTCTCTACTTTGATTACATTCAATATTTTGACACCAGACCCACCATTATTATTTGGGATTTTACCCAACACTCAGATCTGCCAAAAAGGCAACCGTGGACAATTTGTTTTCTATTGCTGGTTATGAATAACATATGATGTTGCGCGGCCGCAGTAGTGGTCACGCAATTTTGGAATTCTGAAATTTTAACAATTAAATCTGGAGGAATTTCTGCCAAAATCTGCTGGGTTCCAAGATTTGTTCCCGAGTCTCTGGGATCATGGCCGTTGAGCAGCTTGATCAGGAACCTGAGAGGTTGTTTGTGGGTGGTGACCCGGAGTCTCAGTTGGGGCAGGGAGGAAAGGGCCGGCTCCACCCCCATCCTGTGAGGCCCCACGTGTCTCGTGACTGTGGGCCCAAACCTGACTGTCCAATGGCCTCTGGAGGATGGTGGCCTCCGAGCCACCAGGGAGAACAGGCCAAGGCATGACACCTATTCCCACCTGGGGTGCTGGCCAGCAATTCTTAATGTTCTTATTTATCTTTCTCTGATTTGACTTTTGTTGCTTTCATTCTTTATTTCCTCTTTAATGCAATGTTGCCTACAGTTGAAGATGAGGTAGAAGAAGAAAGACTCACTCTCTCATATTCTCCTTATTTGGTTATTTGAAATTAATTTAAGCCAAAATCATGTACCATATATTATATATTTCATCTCCATCTCTCCCCAGTAAGTGTTTCAGCCATTAGTACTATACAGATCCCCAAAGCAACATGTTAGTCTTATTACTTTCAGTTCTTTATGGTATGACTTCAATAACAGGAGTTGTTTTTGTGTTTTTTTCTTGGTGATGTTGAATTTCAAACCCAGGAACCCATCCGTGCAAGACAGGTGCTTTGTTGTTGACTTACAGGTCAAGCTGTTAAATTTATGTCTCAGATATATTCCACTACCATGTACAATAAAAATTCATCATGCTTTAAAAAAATGTTTATCTTTTAAGCATTTTGTAGTAGAGCAGGTTACTTCTTTGATGCTGTTGCTTTAAGATACGGATGATTTGTATCAAGAGGATTTCATTCACATAAGCTTCTCATTCTTTATTTAGGTAAAATCATCTCCATTGATACTAGTTCCCTGAGAGCTGCTGGCAGAACTGGCTGGGAAGATTTAGTGAGAAAGTGCATTTATGCTTTTTTCCAACCTCAGGGCAGAGAACCTTCATATGCCAGACAACTGTTTCAAGAAGGTAAAGTTGTCTCTCAATTATTCTCATTAACTTTGCTTAATATAAAGTGATTTATATATAACTTATGGCTTGATAAGTATTTTCTCCAAATTAGTTTTTGCAATAATGTTTTAGGAAAGGAAGAAATGGGTAAGCAAAGTAATTCATGAGTGAATATCCCTGAAATTTGGGATGCACATTTTAAGGACAGGAGCTCATGTGGTGGTCACTCGCTCATTCATTCTCCATTCATTCAGCGGACATGCTCCACAAACAGAACACCATAATGTGCAGGGATGCCGGTTACCGACAAAGCAGGGCTTTCAGCTTGAAGGAGCGCAAAATGTATTAGGAAAAGACATGACAACCTAATGATGTGTGTGGCTGAGGCTGTAATCGAGGTATAATCAAGGAAGATAATAAATGGATGTGAACTCCGAGAATCAGGGACAGCTTCAGAGGAAGTGATTATCTTTGTCTGGCTTTTAAAGATGGTTCCCAGATCAAGAGCAGGCCACAGGGTTTCTGGGGTAATAGAGCAGATCTGTCCTGCATGTTTGCTTCATGATTATTATAGTACTGTATCTCCTCAGGTTGAAGTCTTAAGTCAAAATCTATGTAATGTGCAGGGGAGATGGCTACAAGGTCTAGAGCACATGCTTGGCATGGAGTGCCCTGAGTTACATCCCCAGTACCACACAGTCTCCTGAGCACCTCCAGGAGTGACCCTCCTGCCCAAGCACAGAGCTGGAAGTAGCTCCTGAGCATCACTGGGTGTGCCCCCCCCCCCCATGAGTAATCTAATAGCTGCTTCTGTGTCATAGTCCTCTGAGGATATAAAACAAATACACTACCCTTCAGGAACTTAGCAGTATCATCAGAAGCGTAGGCAAGTTGTCTAAGAGTTAAGGCTAGAAAGTACAGAGATTTAGAGTTAAAGGGTTTTGATGCATTTTTAACATGTCGTCATCTAATTATGGTAGCCTAATATGAGCTGTTCCTTTCCCAATGTAATTTATTCTCCAAACTCCGAGTAAATCATTTCTTTCTTCTTTTATTACTTTGGTTTTGGAGCACACCCATGTGTGTTCTGAGACTACTTACTCTCTGCAATGCTTTGGTGATCTTGTGGTGCTAGGAGTTGAATTTATTATGTACTCATCAGGCCCTTAAGGCATCTGTCTTACCCCTCAAATTCTTATTTTTTTGTGTCGGGGGGCCCTGACTTTGAACAGGGTTTTTTCCTGGCTCTGTGTGCAGTGATTACTCTTGCTGGTGCTCAGGGGATTGTACCCAGGTCAGCAGCATGCGAGGCAAGTTCCCTATTTGCTGTACTGTCTGTAACCCAATAAATTGTTTCTTTAGAAGAGTCTTTTTGTATGCTATTCCTGAATTCCAGTTTTAAAATATTTTTATTATTCATTGCCCTTCTTAATTTTCACATTATTCCATAATGGTGGGTTCCCTAAGTTTATAGGTGATACTCCATTTGTTGCTTTTGAGGTCAGCTGCTTCCTAATGATGTATGGAAGATAGAGGTGAATTCTTTTTTCTGGAATCCATATATGTGACCCTCCCATTACTTCTCAACAGCTTCCCTCAGACTAATAGTACTCCCATAGGCCCTTGATTTGACATTTTCCATCCCCAGAGGTGGTGTTTAAGTGGATAGATAGAATCAAGAATCTGTTTTTTCATTTAGCCAGGCAATCTGGAAGTGTAGTTAGGCTTGGAAATTATTGCAATAAGCAACTACAGCATTCTGTGGATGCAGACTTTGCTTTTCCCTCCTCCACAAGTGGCACTTGAGTTTTGCATAACATTAAGACAGAGCACTATTTCCACTCCTTGCCTTAAGAGCTGAAGTATTTGATATTCTGATTTTCCCCTTAACTTTGTAAATTCAACCTCCAAAGGCTTCACTTAAAAGGTTTTTATTTTATTTAATTTATTGATTTATTTTTTGGATTTTTATTAGTGAAACACCATGAGGCACAGTTGTAGATTTACAAATTTTTGTGCTTGGGTTTCAGTTATACAATGATCGAATACCCATCCCTCCACCAGTGCCCATTCTCCACCACCACTGATCCCAGTATCCCTCCCACCCCCCAAGCCCCCCATCCCACCAAAAAAAAAAAAGGTTTTGATTTTAATCTGAAATTTATGTACATCCTACCAAGGCAAAGAAGATCTAGATGATCTCATCTAAATGGCTAGATTCTCATCCATGTAAGCCACAGATTAAAGTACATATCTCTAAGCCAATAGAATTCTGCATAAGATAGATTTATTCAAATGTAATAATTAACATCGGAAGTAATTCCACAATCACACTTGGAGATTTGAATATTTTTCTATAAGCAGTGATGAAGTAGGAAAAATATAGGGTAAAACAGGGCCAGGAAATAGCTTAAAGGGCTGGATGAGGCACATGTTTGTACACAGGATCCCTGGGCTTGATCACCGGCACTGCATGGTCATCCAAGCTACCAGCACCGTCAGGTGTCAACCCCCACTCCCTAGCCTGCACCCCCCACCCCCATGGAAGATCCAAAAAGCCATATCCATTACCTTTTGGTGAACTAATACAGGACTGAATTAAAACAGAACTTTATACTGAATATCTGCACCCACATTTTTTCAATACTTATGATTGTATTTATTATGATAGATTGCATTCTTGAGCCATTATACAAGTCAATAAACTTAAAAAGATAAAAAATCATATAGACTTTTATCTGATCAGTGGACACAAGTTAGAAATCAATAAAAGTAAGGTAGCACTGTAGCACTGTCCTCCCATTGTTCATTGATTTGCTCAAGCAGGCACCAGTAATGTCTCCATTGTGAGACTTGTTGTTACTGTTTTTTTGCATATTGAATATGTCACAAACAGCTTGCCAGGCGGGATACTCTTGGTAACTTGCCAGGCTCTCAAGAGGGGCAGAGGAATCAAACCCAGGTCGGCCGCATGCAAGGCAAACACCCTACTCGCTGTGCTATAGCTCCAGCCCAGCTGGTAAGGTAGAAAAGTAAGGTAGAGGGTAAATAAACAAGATACTTTAAGTTAAGAAATATTTATAAACACTTTTAAAATTACAAAGAAATTTATAAAAATATACCTTGGGCTAGAGACCAATGAGAATAAAGCATTCCAAACTTTATGAGATTAAAATTTAAAATAAAATAAAATAAAAATATAAAATATAGGGCTGGAGCGATAGCACAGCGGTAGGGCGTTCGCCTTACAAGCGGCCAACATGGCCGACCCGAGTTCGATTCCTCTGCCCCTCTCGGAGAGCCCGGCAAGCTACTGAGAGTATTCGATATGCCAAACACAGTAACAACAAAATATATATATATATATATATATAAAATGTGTCACATATGAAGGGAAACTAGTTAGCAAAGAAACAAATCAGTGAAGAGATAGAACATCTTTCCCTGTTCTTCATTTCTTGATGTCCTGTTTTTCCTCTGGCCTCCTTTTTCACGTGCTTTGTGACAGGGATCCAACCCAGGGCCTCACCCACATGAGCCTTGTAGAAAACTCTTGAATGTTTTCTCAATTTAAGTGGTTCAGATTTTACATAATTCTGATTCTGGTATTAGATTTTAGACAACTTACTAAATAGCTGGTATGAAATAAATACATCTTTATCCGATATTTTATATTCAGCAGTGTTTAGTGTCTTAAGAAAAATGTGGTCCTTAGGCCTGAGAGATAGTAAAGAGCTTAAGGCACTTGTCTTGCATGCAGCTGATCCTAGCTCAGTTCCTGATGTGGCATATGGTTCACCAAGCTTTACCGGGAGTGATCCGTGAGCACAGAGTCAGAAATAATCCTTGAGCACTGCCAGTTGTAACCCAAAAATTAAAGAGAAAAGATGATCTATTAAACAAACAGAAATTTCTTGTTAAAGAGGTTGACCTGTTGAATTAAATTCTCAAGTGAAGGTCCAGTTATCTTAACAAGTTCCAGTAGTGATGCTTAATTTAATATCAGGAATGGAGAAACTTACAGCTGGAGCGATAATACAGCAGGTAGGGCATTTGCCTTGCACGCAGCTGACTCAGGTTCAATCCTTGGCATCCCATGAGGTCCCCTGAGCACCAACCCCCTGAGTATCACTGGATGTCACCCAAAAAGCAAAAAAAAAAAAAAAAAAATGAAAAAAAATGAAAAGGATGGAGAAACTTGAGAATTTGCCTTTTCATTTTTCCTGTTGCCTCTTCACTTAGGGAACATGTTAAAAGAGTAAAACAAATTCTGCCATTATGTCTTTTTTTGTGTATAAAATTATTTGAAAGTTTATGAAACGTTATAGTGATTTATATTTAGGTAAGAAAATTTTATCTTTTGTGTCTTTTCCCTGTTTATTAACCTCCTTTGGTATAAACTCCTGTAAAACCTTTGCTACTTAAAAATTTTAAGTTCTTAACAGCTGCTTTTGACAGTGACAGCTGACCAACAGCTTAACATTTTATTTTTGATAATCAAATTTTAAAATACATTTCAGCCAAAGAATATGTGGGAGAGTCTAGTTTCAACTAATAGAATCAGTGGCTCCGCATTGAGATGGGGGGAAATCAATGGGTATCAGGATAAGCTAAGAAATTGTTTTCAGTGGGAGAAAAATTGTGCCTGTATATAAAGGGTACCAAGGTTTTATTCTATCCAGAACCATTGTTGTTGTCTTAGTTAATTTGGGAAAGGCGTCTCCAAGTGGTACTCAGGAAGCCAAGAGAGCCTCTCCAAGAGATTTTTGTCTGAACTGGTGCTGAGGGCCTTCAAGGCTGCCTCCAGAAATGCTCCAGAACCCTGTGGTTCTGGGGCTCTTCTAAGGTCTGTCCAGTCCCTAGAACCATTGTTTTCAAGACAGACTAGGATACACTGTTTCTCAACGATCACGAAGAAGGGACTGGAGCAACAGCAGAGCAGGTAGGGCGTTTGCCTTACACGGCTCACCCAGGTTTGATTCCCACCATCCCATATGGTCTCCTGAGCACCCCAAGGA